CTCTCCTGAGTGAGCCACGGGCCAGCCCCACTTGATGGTTTTTCTACAGCACTGTGATACATAAGTCAAGTATTCTGTCAGTGGCCTAGAGAAGTAGGAAAAGTAGAGAATGCAACCTCAACCCTTCTAAGTCCCAGATCTCCACTTGATAGGTTACTTAATGGATCTGTGTGCTGGCTTATCTGTAAAATGACTGCTGATAATTTTATATTAGTACTACTATACTACCTCCTTCATGGGTTGTTATGAGGATCAAATCACAGAAGATGGGGTAAAGTTATTTATAAAACGTGAGACACTAAAAATTATTATAACATGTAGCTCATCTAACAACAGATAACAAATCTGATAGTCTTTACTTTTTTTTTGATTTGGTTTTCTTTACAGTAAGTTGTATTAAGAGTTCTGGCACGAAACAAATGGAACATTCAATAATTGGTGAAGCATCCTGGGACTAGCAACAGTGAGGTGCAATGACCAGCTGTAGGTTGGAGGATGAAAGTGGAAAGAACAGTTATTGGAACCCGAAGAGCTGCGTTTCACCAGCCCAGCAGGAAGTGGGCCAGAGAACTGATAATCCCACTTCACTCTGCTCTTGCCCTCTGCTTTCGTGCTGGTACTTCCCATTGGCTGAACTCACCTGGCCCTAGGGGTCAGGGAGCCCTGACTAGTCCAGAGGTCAGTCTCCTGGGGCAGGCACAGAGCAGAGTGGATATGGGGAAGGGCAGAGTGGGTCTAGGGGGCAAAGGGAAGCTCTCCAGCAAGGCTATATTACAGCTTGTCTTGGTCTCTACCCTTCTGTTTTGTCTTCACCCCAGATTCGAGATGAGACATCACTGCAGCTGGTTTGCTGCTATAGCTGCCCAACCATCAAGACCTTCTAAGTCATAAACAGAAACAACACGCCACACCATGGTTCGTTCTTGTTTATTGTTTCGTAGAAAACAGGTTCTTTTTTCTTTTCTTTTTTTTTTTAAAAAGATGACCGGTAAGGGGATCTTAACCCTTGACTTGGTGTTGTCAGCACCACGCTCAGCCAGTGAG